ACCTGAGGAACAACATGTCGTCTGAGTACAGTCCATTGATGACGCCGCTCTCCTTTTCCAGAGCGAGCATGCTGATGTGCAGCTTCCTGGAGTGGAGGAAGTCCAATATCACCTTGATGATCTCCACCTCCTTCACATTTATGGTTTCTTCAGCCGTCATGGTGATCACGCTGGAGGGACAGGAGCAGGGAAGCTAAACACAAAAGACCAGGGAAGCAACCAACATCACAGCTGGCCTGTATTATATATGTACATTTTTTAGAAGTTTAAGAAGTTAGGCAAAACAATACCCTGAACCTACTGCAGCAGGCTGGGGGGAAAACATGGGAGGAACAGAAAAGGGGCTCATTAAAACTGCATTTTATTCATTAACTTCTGTCAAGACAACCACCTGGTTTCTGCCACTTTAGCTCTCTGCAGAGAACATCTTATAATTAAAGCATCATTATTAAAGCATGCAAAGTCAGTCGGACCTAAACACTATCTCACATAACTGTAAAGGTTTAAATAAATGTACAGTAGTTTTTCAATTAAAAAAAGTGACTAAATGTGCAGTAAAGCCAGCTAGCTTTTTAGGTGTTATCTCCATTGTAGGAGCAATGGCCTCATCATGGCAACAGCTTACAGTAAAAAACATAAACCATTTAACAAAAAATTACAAAAAAAAGAAAATACTTTGATAAATGAGTAAATAAAATTAAATTTGCAAGAAAATCTGATCAGAATAATTGTAGAAAACCACATGTTTTATCTGGTGGTGCAATACTGTGAAAAACCAGTTGGCTCACATACAAATAAAGATAATTTTCGTAAATACAAAAAAGTAGTTTTGAATTTAAAAAAGAAAAATCAGACATTAGGGGAAAAAAGGATCCAAACTAACCAGGCCCTACAAAATAATTGCTCTAGGTTAGTCCATGACAAGTTGCTTTTTGAGATCTGCTAGCCTACTTCCTGTTTTCAGACGGGTTCTACCCAAAGAATCTCTAGATTCTGCAGCTCAAGCAGTAATCACACCTGGATTAGGGTTAGGGTTCATCATCATGTGTTAGGATCAAATTGCTGTATTCATTTGTTTTATACCTAGATTTGTTTGATGATCTGAAATGTGCAAGATGGACGAAAATGCAAAAACTAAAGAAATATGGAAGGAGAAAGTACTTTTTCACAGCATAATACCTCATAAAAATATATTTTTTAAAACATATAAACTGTTGTCTTTTGTTACTCAAACCAGAAAAAGTCAAATGTGTTTCATTGAGATTTTGTTTTACACCCAGAACTGGCAAGATGGTAGCTCCTGACGCAGCAACAAATCAACATGTACGTCTAACCGTCTCTAGATTAAAAAAAACAACACTATCTGTTCTTTACAACAAGGTTTTGTTTCCCTTCAGCTTGCTATTTACATATCAATCTGACATTCTTTTGTGGATGTATGATGGGTTTTAATCACACTGATTATTACTTCATAGGCCATTGTATCTTTATGCAGCCATAAATCAAACTAAACAAAATAAATGCTGCCACACTGAACTTTCCCCACAGCAAAATGTAAAATCACAATAAAGATATTTGCACTTAGACACAGTTTATTCTTTAAATGCCCACAGAGCTCAGGATCATTTCATCTTATGAATGGCGTTTCTCCATTTGGAAAACAGAGGCTGTAATTATGCAAATTTGCTTTAGAGTAGCGGTGGTTTTAATTGATCAAATGTACTGTGATCATGCTTCATTTGTAACAAGATGATCTAATTTTAGTTACTGTGTTTTTACAGTTTACTCATTAACTTCTTAACAGTGACCGTAAATTAAAAAAAATGAGCGCACATGCCTAAATTTGGCACATTTACAAGGCGAACTGAGGAAATCATGCTGATTAGTATTCATTGTTGCTTTTAAACTCATAGATTGAGATAAACGATAGTTGAGTCAAGCAGAACAATAGCAAAAACTAAACATGTTGAATAGCTTGAATGCGAGTCAAAATCCGTATTTAGATTCACATCCTTTCAGCTTTCCAGCTTGTCACATTAAAACCTACATGCATTTTATTGGGACTTAATGTCAAAAACAACACAAAGTAATGCATAATTATGAGGAGGAAGGAAACCAAAATTCTTTAACATGGCTATGGCAGCTGATGATAGTAAATGGAAAGATGGATTGGATCGAAAACTTGCTCAACGCTCCATGTCACTGTCGACCAGGTTGAAGTTCACCCCTCAGCTTTAAATCAAACCATATCCATGTGTTAGAATGGTCCAGTCAAAGTCCTGGCCTACAAATGTTTGAGAGATTTCCTGATGCTTACACATGTGAAACCAAACTTACCTACCTCTTTATATTTCAGAGCAGTACCATATGTGAAGTTGAAACAAGTTAGTATTGTTTCACAAGTGCTGTCCAATGTTTTCTATTAAATCAGATTGGAACATTGTCTTCTGACCTGATAAGACCTGACATTTATGAAAGAAAAAAAAACACAAACAAAAACAAAAAAAGGTTTTTAAAAACCAGGTCGTGCCTTTTAATGATTAGTGATTGGCCAGAAAACGGCAATCATTGCTGGACAAATAATTGAAAATCAGTGGCAACATCTTTACTCTGGTGCTACAAAACATAAAATGGGTTCATGCTTCACTCTTGATGTGCACAAGGCTTGCAGAGGTCAACACCAAAAGACTTAAAAGGCACAACTCCACCAAAACATAGAAGTATTCAGTCTGAATGTACACCTCACATTTATATTTGACTCATCCAACATAAAAAAAAAAGAATATGGAAACGTGTAGTGGAGGCCCTTGTCCAAAGCCCAGGGTGAAATAAAAAAAACTTAACATGACTGGATCTGTGTGCTCATCAGAGGTCATCCAACCTGCATCCAACAGCGGCACAGCTTTATTTCAAGGTGCTCTGGACAGCTACCAGGTTGTCCTGATTTGTGATTCAGGTAAATTAGCTGTATGGAAATGAACTGGTGCCATTTGCCTTCATGGGATCACCATCCTGGGATCACCATCCTGGGATCACCATCCTGGACTGATGAGAGGGTGTTGGACTTAAATGTTGTTTATTCTGGATGAAAACCAAGATACTTGTTGCCACAAACAATTTTAAGGAGTCAAACCATAAAAATCTTTATAAGGGAGCATAAAATCATGCGAAACCCATGTTGTTTTTGACAAAAAGGGACAATGTGTGTGAGCTGTCATTAAAGAACAAGCCCCTGTTAGAAAGCCAATGAAACAAGAGCCAACAGTTCTGCTAAGCTAGCCAACCGTTAGCCAATAACAAGCACTAAGCCAACGGAGTCAAACAGCATAAGAAGCTTAAGTTGCTTGTTAGCTCTATACGGGCCCTGAATTTAGCCGCAGGATTAGAGCAGAACCATCAAATGGCTAGTTACTGTCAGGGCTCATATAAAGCTGGCTAATTTAACCAGCGGTAGGAGGGGAGCTAGCCCGGGCCGAGGAGGGGAGAGGCATCATCCGCCAGTGAGCTGGCCGGGCGGGGTGACAGCTCCCAGCACCAGCAACGCGAAAAACAACGACACTCACCTGCGTCTAAAAGCACATGGAACAAAAGCGCCGGTGTGTTTCCCCGCTGCGCACAGGCGGTGTCACGGTGAGCCCGTCAGCAGTTCCCGTGTTGCTCCTCCGTGTCTGTGTCCCCTCCTCCGGCTGGATGTTCCTCTCACTGACTGCGGTCTCTGGAGCCGCCCTGCCCAGCCCGCTGCCTGCCTGCCTGCCTTCTGCTGCCTGCAGAGCACCGCCTCCATCCGTCCTCCGCACATACCAACTTCATGCACAATTATGGGGTGTTTCTGTGAGCAGGGGAAGGGATGCAAGTCCATGAGGTTTGTATGTAACAGTACAAGGTATGTGTCTGATAGACAGTGGCGTGGACAAGGGGTGCAGCTGATGGAAATCTTTTCTCAGGGGCCAACAGACCTAATTTCAAGGTTAAATCTACATGTATAGTCGGAGCCAGCCAAAGGCATAAGCAAACTAAGCCACGTTTTAGGGGCCCCAGACTATCGTGACTCTCCCATACATGTTTGAGTTTAAACAGGCCATCCAACATGTTTATTTTTATGGAGAATGATTTGACCAAATCTAGCTATCAAATGTTGGTGGTTTAGGCAATGATAAATTAAAATGTTTTGACGTTTAAAGGAACTGAAAAAAAAAAGTTCAAAATATAATCTTCTTTTAGTGTGGTTCTTGAGTTACCATGGTTACAATTTGATGCCATGAGGTTAGCATTTATGTTTCAGCTTCAGTTTCTCCATAATTGGTAAGAAAATGGTAGAAGAAAGCTAAATAAAATGGATAACAGCAGTATTTTCCTTAAGTCAGTGTTGAAGTTGCATTTTAAACTTTTTTAACAACCAATTATCTGACTGTTAAGCTTCTCAAAATCTCTCAGATTACACCACATCTGGATTAAAACACTATTACTGATGTTTTGAACAGGAGGGCAAGCTCTATGTCAGCCCTGTGTACACAGTGTGTTTCCTCTTCAGGAGCATTTCCTGGAATAACGGTAGTTTTTCTTCTTTGTTCCCTCTTGAAAACTTTAATCTGGCATTCAGATTTTCCTTGAGATTATAGGTTTCTTCCTTGCACACGTCCTATGAAAGCTTTGGCGTTTCCTGCTTGTGAAAGCATACATTCGTCCTGTAACAGTGCCTCCTAGACATCCTGTGATGATGCAGAGGTTTTAGATGGCTTCTTTTAGCATCTTGTTGTCTGCACTCAGGTGAGGAAGTGTTGGCAGTTGTTTTAAATGTTCTCCATTTATGAACCATCTTTACATTTTTACACATATTGTGCATAAAACATGAAGCTAAAATTAGCCACAGATAATTAAAATGTGCAGGTTTCTCAATAATATTACCACTGCTTACCCGCTATCTATTAAGCTAACAAATTTACCATCAGAAATAACTACAACATAAAACAAGGATATAAAGTTGAGACAGACGCAGTGCAAACTGTTAAGAGCTGGCATTTTAATAAAACAGGAAATAATAATAATAAAAATAATCAACAATAACAAGTTCATGAAAATTTTATCGCATTTTCCTGATTAAAAAGAAAGCTGGAGAAAAGGAAAAAGAAATCAATTGAATAAAACACCTCCTCATTCAGCAATGCTTTGCATTCAGACACACACGTCTTTCAATGACCGTGCTGCTTCGCACACTTCCAACTGGTAAATATCCTTACAAAAAATACTTCTTATATGTGAAAATATATCTGTACAGAGTCAACACATACTGAAAGGAATGCAAGATGTAAAAATGTAACAGTAAGGTAAAGTGAAAAGCACTGACAGTGACAGTGTAAAAACCTCTCAGATCAGACGCAGCAACAGTGGAGAAGGTCTGACACCGCTAGCGCAGGGAAGTTCGTCCTCCTATTTACAACAAAATCTGATCACAATCTGCATCTAACAGTGAGGACACAAAGCACATTGATGTGACATTTTAGTTATTCGGTCACTCTGCAGCATAATCAATAGTTAGAACTTAAATTACTGCACACACTGATGACACTGAGATCTCCATTTAGATCATAACTCATGGTAGTCTTGTCAGTAATGCTGCTGAGGGATCAGATTTTTTGCATCTGTAGCACAATAAAAGGCCCCAGAAAAAAAAAACAACAATATACATAAACATGATAAATTACAAAAGCTACTCAAATGCTACCAGGAACCGACTTGTTTGCTTTCCTATGATATACAACAAATATAACTAAGGTATGCTGCGGACCATGTTGTGTTTCGCATAAAACATAATGTGTATTCAACGTATCTCAAAAGCTATATTGAAGTAAAATAAATTAAAATCCTATTGCAGGTGTTTTCCAGAACCATTTGATGGTACTCCATACACTCGTCATTAACACACACTTTTGTCAAATAAATCCATTCTCCACTTGAGGTGTGCTTAGCGTGCTGGTTGGCACTTCACTGTACGTGCACACATATACAGAAATAAAACCTGTTTATAGAGTTGTCAATCACATGTACAAAGGCAAAAAACGACAACAACAAAAAAAAATAAAACATGCCTGTTAAGCAGCTGAAGTCACATCTGATCACAGACAGGCAGCTAACTGCGAAGGGGACCTAATCTGATCTTGGACCTGTGTGTACAGACAACAAACAGATGTTTTCGGCAGGCGCAGACAAAATGACACCAACACCCACTTTGCGTCCATGTGACACAGAACAAGCATAAGGCTACACATGATCAGCGCAGAGAACCCAAAGTGCCTCTGAGAGGCGTGACATTCAGTGCTTCAGTGGTTCAGCTTGGTAAGGCATCGGCTCACCTGGTATCATCTTTTCTTTCTTTCTTTTTTTTTTTTTTTTTGGCACATGAGAACATTGATACACATGCTGACAAGAACACACTTGTGCCACACTGAAGTAGTGTCATAGTTAGCTCTGTATTAGTTTTATGTGTGATAATGTATTTCAACATTCCAGTTGAGATTTTTCAGGAATGGTAACTAGCGTCCCTCAAATACATATAGAAAAAAATCCACATTATCTTCAGTATGTTTCAACTTGTCCAGATGCACCGCCTTCACCTGCCTCTACTTTGGGTGTTTTTTGGGAGTCCCCTGCTTCTTGGTTTGCCACAGGTGGTTGGCAATGGTGATGGCGTCCACGCTGGCGGACATGGTTTTAGCCGGGATCTTGCTGAACTGCTTCTTGTCCGAGTTGTACTTGTACAAAGTTTCGATCATTTTGGGAGTAATAGACTTTGGGCCAATGCCGGCCAGTTTGGCGATCTCCTCCGTTTCGGGGCAATACGTGTAGACGGACCTGAACTGGCAGCCGGAGTCACGAAACAACACTAGGAAGTTATTGGCTTCGGATTTCTCCATTTCCTGCAAGAGATTATGCATAAAAAAACCTACTTATTAATGGCTCTTAACAGTCACTGATAGCTTTCTGTCAGAGTTATGCACACAGAGCTTACGTCAAGTATCTTGTTTTTCTGCCCTTCATTGACTTTGCCAGCGAGGCAGCAGTGAGCCAGGGCATTCTGGATGATGTGCTTGTTGGACTTGGCACTAGGCTCCTTGTACAGTTTCGGTCCTGAGGGAAGAAACAGTGAGAGTGCAAAAGTTACACATCCGCTGGATGAGTGGATCAAAGAGAAGACAAGGCTCTATATTCTTCTCCGTCCCTACCTGTGTACTCTGTGTTGGATGGAGTGGAGGACGTGGTCGACTCGTTTTCCCAGTCTTTCTCTCCGTTACGACTGCCGGCCGAAGGACAAGAAGAAAAACCCTCCACAGAGTCTGGCCTGACGGCAACCAACAGATAAACACAGACGTAACGACAACCACGTACGACATATCACCACACAGAGACATGCACAGAAACACAGAGATGGGTCAAAGCGAGATGAGACGTTGTGACATAGTTCTCCAAAGTCTGCCTGTTGCCTTGCATCACATCAAAGTGAGACACGCGGGTGAAGCAGATACGTGTTCAACCAAGCAAAGCAAAGCGGCTGGCTTCATGGTTACAGAGAGAGTTATGAAGGAAACAGCGAGCAAACAGCTAAAACATAAAGCAGAGAGCAAATGTGATAAAGAGAAAGAAGAAGAGGCGGAAACAGCTCTGCAGCCTGCGTCTGATGGACCTCACTGTACTGCAGTCAGGAAATTAACCTGCATTTACTTAGATTTATGACAAACCTTAGCCCAATACAAAATTATAGTGAAGCTGTAGCATGTCTACACAGAACCACGTCTACAAAGAGCTTTAATTTAATTTCAGTGTTACTAACCTTCCCTTTCTGTCTTTTGGAGAGCTTAAAAAAAACGGGATATGAGCTGAGGCTAGTTTGTGGCCTCTGAAGGATGCATGCAGAGCAGAAGTAGAAGAAGGAGAAAGGGAGAAAACAGAATCAAACTGTGGAAAGTAGAGCTTCCCTGTGGATCATAGAGGACAATAGCCTCTTCAAACACATTCCTGACAAGTCTCATCAGGGTAAGCAAAGTGTCAACTTAAGGTGAGTACAGGATTTATTAGTTTAACTTGTTAACCAGAAACGAAAATGTAATTTTTTAGTGGTTTTTAAGCTGATTAGCTAATTATTAGCTTACAGGCAGTTACCACCAATGACAAACTTCAAGATTTCATTGAGACCTCATGTCACAATCAACACAAAGTAGTGTAAAATTAAGTGCAAAAATTATACATAACTTTAAAGTTTTTTTTCTAATAAAAAAAATAAAAAATTGCAAATAGCATTTATGGACAAAGTTGTGTGCAAGTCTAAAAGAAGAAAAAGGAAAAAAGATGCCTTAGTCCATTTGCATTTGGTTTAAATCCAAGAATGTGGAAGAATGCTAACATTCCATGTAAATGTTCAGTAGCTACAGTGAACCATGGTCATGGCAGCATTATGCTGTGGGTTGGTTTTAGGAAAACCTGGTAAAAGACTTGAGAATGAGGTATAGGTTAACTTTCTAACCTATACCTGAAAGTGCAGCAAGAGCTACAATTCAATGACTCAGATAAAAGCATATTGAGATGTTAAAATGGCCCAGTCAAAGTCCTGACCTAAATCAATATGAGTACATGGTAATACTTAAAAAAAGGCTTTTGACAAAATGTGAGAAACTTTGAGCGGATCCACATTTTTAGCAAGGCACCGTTTCTTCATATCAGATTAGTCAGTCTCAGATAAATTAAGGTCTCGTCAGTTTGTTTCTTACCTGTTGTTCTTCCTGTTATCTGGCTGGTCCCTGTCGTTGTCAGCCAGATTGAGGGACGCCAAAGAGACACTTGAGACAGAGAAGCCCCGAGGACGCACGCCTGCAGTGCAGTAGCACACAGAACCAGCACAGGTTAGCATGAGACGCTGGGTGGGAACATGTCTCTAACGGTGCTTTGGGAGTCCTTCACCTGTCGTTCTCACAGGAGGAGTCGATGACTCCATGATGTCCCTGTGGATGGACTTGGGCCGCTGCTTTTTCTTCAGACTTCCACCACGCGGCTTGATGACCTCGTCCATGTCCTCCATCAGTTTGAGCTGCTTCCTCCGCAGATATTCGTTCTTGATGTATTCCCTCCTCGCCTTCTCGTCGTCCTTCTTCTGTTGCTCCTCCTCTGCTTTTAATCTGCACAAGAACAAGAAAGCTTGTAGTGGAAGATTGAACAGAAAAAGCTGAAGAGAAGAACAATTTAGACAGAGCATGCATGCGTCTGGACACCATGTGATGCAGAGAGGACACACCGTGCAGCTTCTTTCTTCTGCTCCTGGTCCAGCTCTTGTTGTTGCTTCTTCTCTTGAGCTTCCTTCTCCCTCCGAAGTCTCTTTTCCAACAGAGCTGCTTTCTTTGCCGCCATGTCCTCTTCTCCCTTCACATCATCCTGGTGTTGAATAAGAATATTTACATACATAAAACATTCAAGTTTCTATATTAAAGTAGAGCTGGGCAATAAATCAATAATCTATATTATAACAGATATGTGGATAAGTCTAATACAATGTTCAATAATTTCACTGAACTCCGATCCTGAACCACACAGTACATATCAATTGACTCTTGAAGTAAGTTCAGACTTCTTCCGTCTTCTTTAGGAGTAACTAGAACATTCAGGGCCTTTAGCACCAACTCACCTTAAAGAAGAATCCACAGCACATCTTTTGGTCGTCTCCATAACTTTCTCCTCCTTTCTCTCCCTCCTCTGTGTTATCCGGACCCCGGCCACCAGGAGGCTTTACCCAAGAGAGCGGCACCTCCACTAGGTCCTTTCTTTCCTGTTTGTCATCTTGACTCTGGCTAACAACCCCACCTTTGGTCTCTGAAACCGGCTGGCACAAAACCTCTGATGCCTTCGACTCCTCTTTAGATTCTGTCCTCTCCTTCAAGCGCTCACTCGTCTTTTTCTTGCATTCTTCCTCATCACTGCTCTTTACTTCCATTTCCTCTTTTTTCTTAGAGTCATCTTTTTCACCCTTGAGCTCTTGGTTGTGTCTTCCCCTGATGCCCTCGTCGTGACTCAGGTAGGCAAACGAGCTCTGCTGGGTTTGGTTGGAGTTGAAACGCCTCAGTCTGGGCAGGCTGTCTACTGAGGTGGGAGTGTTGAGCATCCGACTGATGGGAGTGACCTTCAGGTCATTTGGACGGGGAGTCCGAGGTGTTCTGGCATGAAATGAGGCCGGTCGTCGTTTGATGCCTGCAGGTGAACGGTTGGGGGCGCGCGGCGACCCGGAAGAGGACAGGATCGGGGACAAGGATCCCACCGACCCCCGGCCCGATCCTCTGCCTGTGACGCTGCTGCTGCGCAACTCGCGGAGCTGCCTGTGCAGAAAAATAAGTAAAAACAGTAATGGGGAGCTTGCATTTCAGTCGCCTCTTCAGTGGATCTGGCAGTAACGGCGCACCTGTGAGGAGACGGAGCAGGAGGCGGGATCACACAGGCTTGTTGGTGTTGGTCTCTCATGGCCATGATCTGCTCCTGCTGTTGGGCCAGTCGCTGCATCTCAGTCTGCAGGAAGCCCAGCGACGTGTTGAGCCTTTCAATGGACCGTGTGTATTCTGCAAGATCGACCTCTCCAGGGGTCACGCCTGATCGTCGGCAACAAAAATAAGTAAGTACAAAAACCATAATCTGTCACCATTTCCAAAACCGAAACCAGCGGAGCTAATAAAAAGAGAGGCACGGCAATGTTACTTACCCCCACCGTCTTCGCATGGAGATTTGGGAGCTGCTCCATCAGGTTTGCATCTCTCCACCCGCTCCACACTGTCCTCCTTTGACGAGGAGATAGGTGAAGGTGTTTCTGCCCCTCTGGAGTTCTGGCTCAGAGGGGCTGTCACTCCTTTCCTTTTTACTACATTCAGGAAGGCTGTTCTTCCCATTTTTTGACGGTGCCTGGTGAAGGCTGCCTCTACCTGGAAAATGGGGCAAACCTCGTATTAGATGTAAAAATCACACAACCGGGTTTGTCGTGATGCAAGACTGCATACCTTTTTCTTTTGGGCTTCAATGGCTCTGCGTTTTTCTTCAAGTTTCATTCTCAGCTGAATCATTTCTGAGGCTATGAAGTGGGAGGGGTCTCTTGTTGACGGGGTAGCCGGAGAAGGCGACGTGATTGGCAGGGGAGGCGAAGAGAACTGGAGGGAGAAGAATGATTATCCACAAATAGAGAAGACATGGAAACAGAGGTGAACCTTCAGACCAAAAATGACGTCCCTGAGAGAGTTCAAGGCCAGAAGTCAGCAAAAAGAACCTAAAGGCCTGTATCATATTTGTCAAAAAACATCTCAACAATCCATTAAACTCTTCAGAAATCTGTGAACTGATGGGACAAACATTTTTGAAGGGTTTGTGTACCATTAAATCTTGCAGTAAATTTAAACACTTTTATAACAACACCACATATTCTAAAATGTCTGAAGAGACTCGAGGGACAGAATGAGGCACAAACCTGAGTGGAAGTGGTTCTGGCTGAATGTGTATAGGGCACATTAAGATCAGAGCTGTCTGGAGTGGTAGTTCCTCCGCTACTCCTTCCCTCCAACTTCCTGAACTTTTGCTCTGCAAAGCTGGTCATCCGCACCAGACCCCCACCTGACCCACCCGATGAAGAGGCGGGACTGCCTGTGTAAGACCTGGGGAGGGTGGGTGCAGAACTGGGACAAGGGCTGCCTCTGTCACCTCCGTGTTCCTGTTCACCCTCAGGGTTTGCTTCCACTTCCTCCTTGTGTTCCCCTTCCCTGCTCCTCTCCTGCTTGCCGGGCAGAGGACACGACCTCGTCATGGCCTCGCAGTCTGGATCTATATCTGAGTAGTCTCTCAGAGATGAGGAGTCCTCATCCAAACTCTGGATGTCCTCTGTCCGCACATGGATGCCTGTGTCGACTTCATCTGTGGAGGCAGAGTTGGGGTCTCGGTCATTCACCCGAGCCTTCGCTGAACCAAAGTCATCTCCGGGAGCTTGAGCCCCTGGAGGGTCTGACGGCTCTGCACCATGCAGAAAAAAGCCATTGTCTCCATCTCCAATAGCGAGGCTGGCATGAGGCCGTTCGGTGTCGTGGATGATCTTGAGGGCCTCCTCGATGCTCGGAGGAGTTGATGGACTGACGCGGGCGGAGTGGCTCCCTTGGTACTTAGTGGGGCTGCTGTTGTCTGGTAAGACTCCATTGGGGTACCTGGAGAGAAGATCCGGGTAAATAGAAAGTTGAGGACAGTAAGAGTGAATCTCGAAAAAAATTATTGCTTCATTGAAATGTTTTTGATACTCCTGAATAACAAAAATCTCCAAAGGCTTTTTTGTATGTGACCAAAGCTCACACATTTATTGAAGTATGTTTTTACTAATGTGCCACCAGTGATTTTGTAAAAAAAAATAATAAAAAAATTCTTCACAGCAGGCTGTAAAGAGTTGGTTGGATTTCAAAAATCCTTGAATTTATTTGTAATCTTTTGGCATATCTTTACCAGCTGTGGAAATTAGCCTGAGTTTTTAATTAGCGTCCTCCAACTTGTTTTGTCCCTAAAGTTACCAAGAGGTAAGGCTTTCATCTTTTTCCAGTGCAACGCTCTGCTGGGAAAACCTGCATCCAGGGATTCACATGACGTGGTTTTTTTGAAACCTGACATGTAACCAAAACATTTTTTGAGACCAATTAGCACTGAATATCACAAAAGCTTTTCTTCAAATGGTCAAACTACTCTTAAATTGGAATTGTTTTTCAAATCTTTACACTTGGAGTCACCTGATGCTCATTGTCAACATTGAAAATTGCTAATTTAGTAGGCACTTCCTTACCTTCAATAAAAACTTTATTAGTTTTTATTGAACTGAAGTGTGTTACATTTATAGGTAATTACATCATTTAAAACCTATTTCCCATCCACACCTGCTTTGGCTCTTAATAGAGAAAGTGTTGTTCCGTCCCAAAGGTTTGTGGGAAGCGAAGTTGTCGTCCTCCTCTGGGATCTGTCTGCCCTGACCGTTCACGTCGACTGGCGTGAGGGAGAGGTGGCGTTTCATGCCGCCTCTTGATGCATAATGAACTTTGAACCCCAGACCATCGGTACTGGCTGAGCGGGTCATGCCGCAGGTAGAAGGAGCCTCAAATGGGGGCAACGTTGCATCTCCATCCAGCGGGATCTCAAAGGAGATTCCCCGAGAGGAGGATCTGAAGAATGAAAAGTGTTGTCAGTGGAAACAGGAAAGAAAGCGACAACTGTAAAATGTCGGTTTCTTCATATACTCACTGTTTTTCTTTGGGCCACGTCTTGACACAACCGTCAACATAGGACAGGGAGGTAGATCTCTTCATTAAGCCTGTTACACACAGAGGACCCTTCTTAGTCTTACACCATCTAAGACAGTGGTTCCTCAAACATTTCACAATAAAATCCTCCCCAAAAAACAAACAAACAAAAAAATCAACTGGGTACACACATCATTCAACCAGACATAAACCTACACACATATCTTATTTTCAAACTCCATTGAAGTTTATTTCACACTCCAGGTTGCAACAAAACAAACTACAAACCATCTTTACAGTGAAACACTTTTGTGTAACTAATTTTTTTCTTTTTATTTATCCATACTGCTTCCTGCGCCCCCCCTGCAATGGGACTTCGCCTCTCCCCACCCCCAGAGGGTGTGCCCCACAACTTGGGAAACACTGATCTAAGAAATTATTTGTTTTGATTAAAAAAACATAGCAAATGAATCTCTGGGGGTTACTGAAAAATAGAGATGATGTAATGGGTTTTAATACGTCTTACAGCGGTTTCTTTTCTTACTTGTATGTTTGTGCTCCATATTCGTCATCCTTAACGTAATCAATTTTGTAAATCAATTACATTTTGTCCTGCATCGTTAACAGCTGCACATTATTTCATTTCTTTCCAGTGTGGAGCTGTATACAACCACTAGGGGGCATCTGACTTCTGAACAAAATCTAAACCTGCATTGATCAAATGGCCTGCTGCACAAAGCTGCAACAAGTAATGTTTATTTGTTTTTCAAGACAAAATAATGATATCTGGTGGCAACATCAGTTGAAGGAGCGACATTTAATAGAAAGATTTGGTAAGTCACAGGAAAGTCATGCAAAAACAATCAGGGATTATATCTGCTGCTGTTCACAGTTACCTGAATAGATTTGCAGCTTCTACTTCTTTATGATTTCTGCATAATTCCTTTGAGGATCAAGCACATGCATGTCCGCCCTCGTCATGTCCATGTAAATCTGTCCCGTAGTTGTTCTCCTCACACAGAGCATCAGCATTCTTGTCGTCCCACTCCACTGAGCTGACAGTGTGTTACGCTTTTCCACAAAACCCTCCATGGCATCAATGCACTGCAGTTTTATTCATTCCCAAAACTAAACTGCACTAATTTGTTCTTTTATTACTCAAGAGGATCATCTAACAACTGGACCGCCAAATTAATTCCCTATTTAAAGATTTTTATTTTCTTTGCCAATGCCTGATTTTATTTCTTAGGGGACTTTTTAAAATGGTAGCATGTCACATAGTCTTGCCTGTGCATTTAAAAAAGGGTCAGATGACTTCTAATTTGTAAAACAGACGTGTTTATGGTGCTACATTATCTCAGCAAATTGTTGTTTCAGACAAAAAGTATAAAGATAGCTCTGTTAGCTTTCCACTCCCTTTCATTAGTCTACTAATAACAGTCAGCAAAAGTACAGTACATTCAATTAATATGGCAATTCAATTAATTAATCCTACCTTCAGCTGTGAGGTTTTCTGGACTGGAAGGTCTGTCTGCATAGTTCTGTTTGACAGGACTGGACACAGGAGCCATGTCTCTGCAGGACGATACAGGCTCACAGGCTGCATGGCAAAACAAGACAAATCCTCCACATCATTAGTCAACAACTAGCATTCATTACATAAAGAAAATTACCAAAAATTTACACACACACACAAAAGACTTATTACGATCATCAAAAGGAACACGGACTGGACCGTACCGTTGGGGTCGAAGACTCTGGGTTGAACAAAGGAGGGTTTCACGACCTCGAACCACCAGAAAAGCTCAGCCATGAACACCAGGTAGTTACTCTGAAAGATTGCACACATTTTTATGCTCAACTCGCACATGTAACGTCTGAATTTTTGCTGCTGGTTCCCTCTGCATATCTCTGCAAATATCAACAAAAATCAAACTTACTCTGAGCATTTTTGAAAGACCACTAAGGTCAAAGTTTATGTACTTGACTATATGTGCATGTTGCACGATGTGACTCCTGTAATGTCAGACCCAGATGTGGCAAAAAAAATCTGCGATCTGGAGTCTAGTTTATGTCTAGTTTATGTACAGTATCTTACAGAGCTATTCAAACCTATCAATGTTTCATATTTCATCATGTAACAACCGTCCTATATTCTACTCAGATTGTGTGTAGTAAGACCAACTTTAAACGGTTGTAGAATATAAGAAAAGGAAACATGGTATTTTTTTTAAATAAATACAACTCTGAATAGCTTGGCTTGCATTTGTATTGAGCTCCATGTAAGCAGATAGTCCAATGTAAATGTAATGAAAGTGAATTCCTTTAGAGGTCCTTTATAGTGCCTGCTGTACATACTGTATATCCTCAGTGTAAATACAGGTCTTTGTAAGGCAACCGTGTACGACCTATGAAAACTTGACAAGAAACGGCACAAATTTATTAAGCAGATTTCAGATGTAATTTGTAGACATATAAACACCATCTTCCAATGCAATGTGTTAAACCGTGCACAAATAGTTACGATTCTGTGGACAGTGAATCTGTGGCAAACCGGCAGCATGCCAGAGTCTTTAAAAAGCCCACATGACTCCCTGTTGCACCATAAAACCAGTATTCAGTCAATGCACAGACTGGTGAATGAGAAATGAAGGCAGAAGAAGAAAAGCAGAGCTTGAGGATGAAAAGCAACTGCTGTGTGGCGTCACAGAGAGGAAAGTTCCAGTCAGCTCGGACTGTGACTTGAATCCTGAATGTTTCTGCCCACGCTCTCTGCATATTATTTACCCATCGCTTGCTCTACTGCTCTGTATTGTCTGAATGGCACTAAGAAACTCTTTGAGTGTATACAGGGAAAAAAATCTGTTTTTTGTCTGAAATCTTAAATCTGCAAAGTTTAAAGACGTTTCTTCAAAAACAAGAGAAACATAGAAGGAAGAGTTGGGTCAGGACTCTTGAATCTGTTCTCAGTCTCAGTAGGATGAGGTCAACAGAGAAGAAACGCACACTGAGTATTAAACTTTTCCTTGCATGACTCAGTTTTGCCTTGGAGTAATTTCCCACCCCAAGTCTCCTTCTTCTCCCTCTAAGAACATAGATCTCTCCTTTTGTCCTTTGAGTTACTGAATCCTGCATCATAAACGCAGACTTTCCACATTTTCCCCATCCATTTCTTTAAACAACAGAATAGTTGAAGTTCTCACCTTTATGGACGCATGGGTGTAGAGCATGTCCTCCAGGCTGAAGTGGCAGCAGTGATTGAGGTTGTTCCTGCAAAACTCCTGCACCATCTGGAGGTTGTATAGACTGTCAGCCAGAGACATGGTCTCCTTGAGGCAAATGTCTGTTCAGCCAGGGGAGGGGTCAGACACGCACACAAAGGGAGGGGGAACAGTAACGGCAAACAGGAAGAGAGGAAAAGATAAGGTTCAGCTTATGGTTAAAGAGAATAGAATAAAAAAAAGAGCAGGGGCAAATTGTCTTTGCTTGATTCACTCCAAATCTTTGAGACAACTCCAGACAGTGTTCAGCTCTTTCTTCATGAATCATCAGCATTTTTATTCTTTGATGTTTCACAACAGCTCATGGATGTGTAGGATGTTGTAGACTTATAGTCGCTAATTTATGCAGTGTGACATCATCTTGAACTGTACTGTACTTATTTTAGGGATAATCCAGTCGCAGGAGAGAGACTTTAATGAACCGTGGCTTGTTTTCACATCTGGTTCACACGCTTGCCTGCGAACTAAATCCAACCTGAGGAGTTTTCAGGGAAGCAACACAGTGGCTGTTTATTTTTGAAACTGCAGCCTGATAAGTAGCCGTCTAATGGTTCTCTGTAAAGTACAACTCCTGACCAATCACGTCTCTGCCCGGGGGGTTTTTAGAAAACAGACAGGCTCTGAGGAAACGCCTCTTAGTTTCTTTGCCCACTCCCTCTTAAAGTCAGTCCTGGGTCATATCTGTGCTGCAGTCATTCTTTAGTCATCATCCCTCACTGTGGTCTGCTATTAATATGTAATAAAAGTAAAAACGACACAACAAAAAGGTCAAAACCTTTTTGAGTATCTGGTAGAGAGAGGGAGACGTCAGAAAACAAGACTAAAGTGGATGATAAATATACTCTTTGTTTCAAACACCCAATTCAAATGTATTGTGTGGTCGTCATAGGAGCAGGAAGAAAGTATCCATTGTGCGCTCTACATATAGAGGCTCTAAACAGCAGGGCCGTGCAAAGACCTTTGGAAGGGCAGGGGCTCAAAGTTAAAAAAGCGCACATTAAACAAGATCTTAAAATAGCAACAACCTATAATAATCAAGAATTAATCATTGCCATCATGTGGGGAAATGCAAAGCAAATGCAGTATTTTTCCCAACAGGTGTAAAGTTATGTTTCTGGTGCAGACAGTCCTGGAGGGCTGAGTTGATCTGAGACTGTATGTGTTCAACAGGCCAGAGGAGAGAAGGTCGCTGCTTATGAAGTTATGAAATGAGCAAATTTGCTGCCATTTTACTAATTAATCCCTATTTAATTAGGAAGTTTACTTTGTAAAAGTTCAAAGAATCATCTTGGTAGTTTGATTGTTGTGTTACCATGGCTACAATATGGTGTAATCTTTGTGTTAGAATCGGGTTTGTTCACAAATACGTCACAGCAAGTAACCAATAATCGATGATTAATTTTAAACCTGGTCAATTAACCTGGTCTCCCTCTCACAGACTTCACCTTATCTAAATTTAAACATGTTAGTGATGCTGAGTTTCTTGGCAGGGGTTCAGGGGGCGGGAGGTGGTTCTGTTTAATGTCTTTATTTTTTTTTTTTTGCAATCACAGCCTCACAAATACAAACATCAAAAATCAACTTTATAATATAAACATGGAATTTTAAAAGAATCACAACAATTCATTCTTTTCTTTCCCAATGAGATTTTCTTGTTTTACTATGTTTGTGCAGTTTAATGAATAAGAAATCAAGGCGCAGACAGATGTTTGGGTCTGGGCACCCACCTTCCAGCCGGACGGCCTGTGGGCAGTAGAAGTGCAGCAGGGCAGCCAGGGCGCAGCCGTCTGTGTTGTCCTTCAGCAAATTCTCCACCAGGGGGAGCGACGGGACATTCTTCTGGGCATGCTCCCTCCTGTATCGGGCCTGAAACCATGGCAACGACAGAGAGACATCACCTTCATGGATCGTCAGGGTGGTTATGCAGCAATTTTCTTTGACTACCGCACACACACCTACTACTGCATGCACAGCTTGATTAAACACACAAGTCCAGGTGTTAATCTGACGGTTTTCAAGCATTCATCTGAAGTAATGCAGATTATACTGAGCATGCAAATAATACATCGCTGGCATTCACTTCAGATTTATTTATTTTTGCTCTTAAGGAAACAACTGGAACAGTTTTGCTCTCTCTGTTGTTTACCCTCTTTGAAAATATTATTCATTACACTCCTCTGAAACATTTGTTTGGGACAAAGGCTGTCAAGAGTCTGTGCAGCGGTTCTGTAGCACACTGTTCATGTGATTTGGGGTTTAATAATGATCTGTGTATACGCTCATTTTTCCTTTCTGCAGGTTTCCTTATGTGATGCTTTGCACGTGTGAAAACCACAGGGACATCAAACCACCGCATGAGCCTCCAGGGCGTCAGCTCTCTCTGGGAGCCCATGAAGAGATGCTTTCTGATTTTGTAACCGACGTGGTACAAAGGAAGATTCAGTGAGCGCAGCGCTCTCTGTCTGACAGCCAGCTATGACTGAGCACAGAGCTGTGAGAAACAGACTGTTGTCCTTCACTGTGCTCCATTGGTACCGAATCCCTCTCAGTACTGCTCGTCCTTTTCTCACGCGAGACAATTTCAACTGTTTCAGGTTTATAATAAAGATGGAAGAAATGCTTTAAGTCATTTCAGTTTTCAGCAGAACCAGAGGTGTAAATGTTAATCAGCTGTATGTCTTAAAAGTATATCTACCTTTGAGTCCCAAGACTAGCCACAGTGCCTTATTCATCTTAAGAAGGGGAAACAGGTTGGGAGGGCAGGTGAGAGAGGGGTAGACATTTGGCCAAACAGTAATGGAGCTCTGGGCCGCATGCAGGGATAAACAACCAGAGGGAAGAACGTGAAGGTTGGGGTTAAGGAGGGTCAGGACTGATGCTGGGGTTACTGAGATCTTTTGCAGAATGAATGGACTTACAGGTACTAATCTCCAGTACCATTTGCTAGAAGACTTGATGGTGGGTCAGGATTGGATAAGAGGAGAGAGTGGGACACGTGTTAGGACCACTACTGAATGGGAAAGAGATACCAAAACCTGAAAACAACATCTGTTATGGCTCTGTAAAAGACAGAGGATAATTAATTTGTGTTAAGTGTGCAGGATGTGACAGAATAGTAATAATTCACACTTTCCCAGAATAGAAGAGTCCGAGGAGCATCTTGTGCTAATCTACTAGAGCCGGCAGGTTGCAGAAGCATTGATGAGTGTGCGTGTGTGTGAAATAATTTCCTCCTGCTGTCTTCTTAATGAGTGAGTAGAATTGATGTCACGCACAAAGAGCTGTGTGATGGAGAGTGCAGCGTAAAAGCAACCGACTGATCTGAAGCGTCCTTAGGACTATTTTCCTCTGATCCAACTTTGAATAACTGTTTCAGCATGGAACGGGTTAAACACGCACATATGTTGTGTATTCCTCTCACTAAATTAACAAGATATTACCATCTGTGGAAGAGGATTTAGCTCCATAAGAGACAGTCGGGGCAGAGTCTCAACGACTGGGACTCCACTTATTGAATGTAGCGAATATTTATATATTTACAGATGCCAGTCTCCAGTATGGAGAACATCCAAACATAAGCTGCTATAGGATTTGAATTCTGTCAGAGAAATATCTAAAGTAACAAAAGTTTATATCATCTGAACTAAATTTCAAAACTAGTCAGTGGCAAATATTTAATATTTACCATATTTTTCGGACTATAAGCTGCTTGTAGCCCGGTGCGGCTTTTCTGTGTATTTTTCTTCAACCACCAGGGGGTCTTTAGCAGAAAGTGAATCATTAGAAGTCAAAATTGGAACTCAAAGAAGAAAGTACTGATTTTTCATTTTGAACAAGCGCATGCTAGCAGCAGTCACAACAGAGAAATGTTTTCAAACTCTTACCCCCTCATCATGGAAACAACACAAAGAAGTTCGTATGATGCAGCTTTGCAATCGATCTGGCAGTACAGATCGATAGCTGCTGTACGGAAGCTCGACGTGAACAAATCCATGGCTTGGCATTGCGACCTTAATAGCAGATTTATTGTTTTGTGGAAAACCGAGAGCGGCGGACATACCAGCGGCTTGTAGCCCCATGCGGTTTATGTAGGTTTCCAGTTTTAAAAAAAAATTTTTTTGTGGGTGCGGCTTATAGTGAGGTGCGCTCTATAGTCCAGAAAATACGGTAAATATTATCCAGGTCAGATAATGACTAATAAATATCCCCTGATTGATAAAACAAAACAAAACAAAACATTCCTTTCTAATTAAAAAACCCACTTTAGTCATCACCTTTGTATTAAAAATGTAATTAAACAAGATGGCAGAGTGCAGCCATAGAAATGCTGAATTAATCCTGTATAATTATTAATTATGCCTACTGGGGAGCTAAGATGGTCAGTGAAATACCTTTTAAAATTTAAATTTCACTCTGCAAACAATAGTATAAAAAAAACACCATTCTTCCTCCTCCTCAAAATCTTTCAAACTAATCATTTCCTGTTACACAATGATAGCCAGGTATGTCTTTGATACTCACACTTTGCTCACCTCATCAAATTTCTGATGAGCAACATGAAAGAAATCTAAATCCACCAAAGCGCCACAACTTCGTCTCAGTCAAGCCTTCAGTGAGTCTCTATTTTTACCCTTCACCTTACAGCTGCCCTGACAGGACCTCTGCTGAAACGTCATGGATGAGTGAGCAGAAGAGAACAACTGCTGACTGCAGTGTGTTACTGCCGGCAGATTGACTCGTTGTGTCACAGGGACCTTACATAACCGCTTAGCTAGCAGGGTGCCAGTCTGTCACGGAGGCCCTTCGGCTGCAGCGGCCCTGTCTCCAACCCTTTTGCCCCAGCTTATCTCAGATAAACCCCTCCTCATTTCTCCTCTCCGACTGTCGCCCTGCATCTCCTCCTTTGTCTCCTCAAACAGCAGTGGCGAGATTCTTGCCAAATACTTTCTGCAGCTGGTGACTGAGCTCATCTGTTCGTCTGATTCACAAAGCTCCGTACTCTGTGTGTTGAATCTGTCTGCTGGGGAAGGGAGGCTTTTTTTTTTTTTTTTGCATGTGTGGACACAGATGTGGCTCTGAAGAAAACATCAATTCCACAAATATTAACTCTCTGCAAGAGGCTTAACAAACTTGTTTCCGAGCAGCATCTTCCAGTGGGTCAGTTTGTGTTGGAGAACCTTTTCTAACTTACCTTATGTGTTGTGATGCTTGAGTCTTGGAGCGAGGCCTCTCTTAACTTCTGTTCCTCGATGAGGATGTCCCTCAGCTGCTCGTTCGTCTTGTACAACAGAAAGAAGCAGAGAAGGTGGTAAGAGACGGAGACACTCAGAGAGCAAAGTCATATTTCAAGAATTCAGACTCAGAAGACAAGTAACGTGAACTTCAGCGAAAAACCTGCCACCTTCACTTTGACAGATTAACTTAAGATAATGAAGTCATGTCTCATAAAACATTGAGAATTATTGTTCAATAATGACTTCTGTTTTCCTTTTTGTCAGAATGAAATTACACAAAAACACCCATTCCTAATCATCCCTCAGTTGTCTCAGTACGGCCTCCATGTAACACATTTAATATCTATTTAAAGCTTTAAATACTCTATGGGACTTCATGGGGGAAAAAAACAGGTGGAGATCTTAGATTGCAACATGTTTATTTAATTCATCATCAAAATTTGTATTACTAAACAGCAATTAACTAAGAAATCGGTTGATTGCAATTAGACAATTGGTTAAAAAAACACTAACTATGCTATTCTTGCTAATCCATCTCATTGATCCATCTTTTTATTATTTTATGTTAGTTTTTAAAATTGTTAGACTAGTTTTAAAATGACTTCTGCCTGACACACAGTGACATGTCATATGCACAATATCTCAAATATCTCACAAGCAAAAACAAGCTGCTAAATAATCAGTAGGAGATTTTGAACAGTGACCTCAGATACTTAAGCAACTCAAGTTCTAATTTTGCTTTTTTTATTTTATTTCTGCAACAGCAAACAACAGACGTTGCTAATCTTGGAAGTGTCTTGGGAATTACTCCACATTCCAGCTCTCTTGCAAGAAAATGAAGAAACGGCTCTCATATCAGCTGAACCCAGACAGAACCAAAACAGCAGCGAATCAAATAAAAAGGTAATGCATGGAATGCGTGCAGTCTTTGAAAACGCACATCTTCATGGCTTTTTTGCACATACCTTGTTGATCCAGGTGGCGATTGCATCCTCTGTGTCGTACGGCAGCCCCTGGACGAGACCGTCGCTGTGCAGCGGTTCAGCAGACGAGTACTTGTTGATGCAGGACATCACCCTCTCCACACTCACCATCTCCACGGTGTAGGCCATCATTAAGGTATCAATGAGCGCCAGATGGGAGCTCTGCACAGAAACGCAGCCGCAAAAGTCTATTGGCAAGATGAATTTAACAACAGACGAGGTTTTTCTCCGATGAAAAATAGTTGAGATGCTCTGATGCACAATAATCTTTTTAAGCATTCAAGTCGTGCAAATGATTTTAACATGATCACAAACCTTGACCTTTCTAACCCCATTCTGGCCCGGTCAAAGCAACAGACCTCCCCTTCCCTTCCCTTTCCTGCCTGACAACATCTCTATTCAAAAAATATTTACACTGCATGTGTGTGTGTTTGTGTCTACACTGTATATGCTTACCTCTGCCTATATGATATAAACCTAACAAGACAAGTACCTTTTGACTGGTGCTCAGTGATTCAGGACAAAACAAAGTCAAAGCAACAAATCAGACATGTGTTCAGAACATCAGGGCTCTCAGTGATCCAGTCTTTCCCCAAGATATGAGCTGTTGCCAGAGTTCAGTGGAATCACTGACTGTAAAACCAGTCAAAACATAACGCAAACACAAGATCACTGCCAGAAACAAATTGTGGATGGAAACAAGTGATTAGATGAGTTACTTCAGCAGAACAGGAGGTAACATTAGATATTAAGAGTATATTTCTTAATATCCATTTTTTTAGTTAGTTTTTGTCACTTCACTTGTAATTAACTCACTATATTTTCCAGAAAATGAAATATATATATATATATATATATATATATATATATATATATATATATATATATATATATATAGATATATATATATATATATATATATATATATAGAGAGAGAGAGAGAGAGCGAGAGAGAGAGAGATATCTACTGTACCTTTATATGCGATATTTAGATCTTTCATTTAGAAAGATCTAAATATTTGGAAGGGTTTCCCTTTTTTATGAATGTATAATCTGCAGATTCTAAAGAAAACATAAAAGCAAACTAAAGTGACTTTTTGTGACAGCTCTAAAGTAAACCACTGTTGGGTTTAGCAGCTAAACACATGAGCCTAATATTCGGCTCATGAGGCAACGTGCTGACTCTGTTTGGAGTTTATGCAGCCTCAGGATGCTGTCAGATATTTCACTTTGTGTGCATTCTGCACCTGGCTGATGGAAACTGACTGACAGAAACTGACTGAATGATGGGCAGAGAAGGAGAGACCAGACAGGCAGCTTAGAATGAAGCTGGAGATCAAGAAATTGGAATTTTCTTAAGTCGCCATAAAGCTTCCCTGACGATTAAAGCTTTTCTCAACGCATTTGCATAAAATCCCTCAGTCTTTCATGCTGGTAAGGAGCTTGTGGAGGTTCCTGCATGCAGCAGAACGTTCAGATGTGTGGAAAGACAAATACTGAGAGTTTAAATGACAAGCCACTTGAGTTCCTCTTAACTCCAACAGGACTGCATCTGTTGGGTTTTGTTTTTAATTACACCGAGTTAGTTAAAGTGGCAGGATGCAAACATTTTGCCGCCAATTGAAAAAGTGGAATTATACATCCCTCGTTTTATTTTTTACCATAGATGGAAATATGTACAACTTGTGTTCAGTTGTATATATGCAATATTTATTTATTAATTATTTTTAATGTTATGTTTATGACAAAAGCAAAAATAATACATTAACTGCCATAAATTGAGTAGTATATCTCAAGCATTTCTTTGGTCAGCATATTATGCTTTTCGGGCCAGTTCCTATAGCAACACTGGGTGTATAACAAGCTTAAATTAGTTGTTAGCCTGCAAGCCTCCTCCTTAACAATCAAACCACTTATAGCTTGCTAACTATAGTTTTAAAACAACATAACATTTTGGCTTCATCTCACCACTGCACATTCCTTTTAGAGAGGCATGAAAAGTGGTGAGGTGATATTTTTATCCACAGGTTAAGATCCCACTTCATGATAATCATTTTTTAAACATGTGATTTTGTTCTGTGGCTTTCACAATAAATTGAGGGATAGAAATTGAGGCCATTTTTGTTTTTTTGCTAGAGTGTTTGTGTGAGGTCATTTTAGTTTATATAATATGACAAATTTGGTGTGTGCTTTTCTATAAATAGGGCAAAAGTAAAAAAAACTGTACTTTTTGTCCGTTTTCAAACTACAGTTACAGCATTAACAGCATTGACTGTCACAATTTAACAACAATTAGGTTTAAAAATAACTTAAATAGGGCTATTTTGAAAGACATGCCTAATTTAGTGATGGAAGTGTGGCGAAATTAACTTTTTTCTGCTGAGTCCCACAGAAGTATAATTTGGTCTAAATTTCTAATGACGTAATGTTTTGTTTATTGTTCAGAAAACAGCAGTGATTCACACTGTTACCGTAACTTACGACCAATCGGTACTGCAACGGTTTTTCTTACACTTTCTTTGGCTGAATGAAAATAAACAATGCTGGTCGGTTTCTTTGAGTTAATACCAAACATTTGTACTGCGCCTCTACATTATTCCCTACATTCAATATTCTGGAGCGCAAATAGGGGAGAGATCAAGACAAAAAGAAGAAGAAAAGGGCAGACAAAAGCTGGAACTATATATAGCACTTTGCATAAGCACTTTGTATTGCCTGGTTGCTGAAAATGTGCTATATAAATAAGATTACTTTTACTTTCTATCTTTACAGGCTTGCAAATTGAGTTCAAATGTTTCCACATTTCCAGATCACAAAAACATATCTGACTATGCTTCATTCAAATTTTAGTGTAAAGGAAATATTTGCAGAACGTCGTGTAATTAAGGAAAAACTACACATACACTGTTAAAATACAAAGAAGCTTGTTGTCGATCGTCAAACCTTGGGGGTAATTATTGTTTTGTGCTGTAACTTCTCTTCAACAGAAAAAGAAGATACCACTGTTGTCTCTACAGCCTGGACTTAAAAACCATGTGCTGCCTATTATGCCTTCACAAACACTTTTACGGTGCATGTGTGTGAATGCATGCGTGTGTCTAAAACCCCTCACAGTGACAGACACGCCTTATAAGGCCATGGAAATGGCAAACAGTGGTTACAAAGAGTGGTACAAAGCTGCAGCATGCTCAAACACACCACTTAAGAGGTGAATCGGTTTTCTGTTGCATGGCTGCAGGGGTGTGTACGTGTCTGTCCTTGATCAAAGCAAGTAAAATACACCTGAACAAACATAATCTAAGCAGCCACGCTGTCCATAGAAACTAAAAAGCGTCCATTCAGAGTCACACCAGTTGTTTTCTGCACAACTTCACACCACATAATCCCAATCCCACTTTTTTTTCTTCACCTTCATTCGCCAGATGAAGGTGAAGCATTAGCGGTGATGCACGCCCCCTCTGCAGGTTCGCACTGTCCATTCCCACTTTGCCTCATCCGTCGCTTTTTCATCTCAGCATTACACTAACCGTACGTGAAGCATGCGTGGAGAACACAAACAAATATTTTAAATTATTTGTAGAAAAGGCCAATAAATCTTGCTGGATGTCTGACAGCTCAAAAGAGACGTGTGTTGGAGAGAGGGTTTCATTTGAGCACCACGCGGGCTTTAGCTCAGTGTGAGACTCCACCCACCACATTGCTGCAGTGGTGCACATTACGCCTTCCTCGTCTCCTTCTTTTCCAGCTTCACACTCCTCCTCCTGCTGCTCCTGCTCCTCCTCCCCTCCTCTCACCTCCTTCCAGATGGCTACATTACCACTGTCTGTTCCACTCATTTTCTCCATCTTTCCTCCTCCTTCTCCTTCACAGCTCTTCTCCCTCTCCCCGATTACATCCATCTTCCACTGTCTTCACCCTTTCCTCCCTTGTACCGCCTTACTTTCCTGCTTCCTCCTGGATCACACCCAAAATCCTGCCCCTAAATTTCCTCCTTTCCTCATTCATTCACCCTCTGACAAAATGCCATACTCCTCCTTCTGGTCGTCCTCCTCCGCCTCCCCAACATGATTTATTCCTCTGGCGCACAGTATTTGGAAAACCATGAGGTCATCTTTTTTTCTGCAGATGCACCATAACCCGAGCAGAAAAGCCTCCACTTCAGCGTCACTAAAAGGTTCCCACTCAGTCCGCAGGAACACACTTCTTAAATTTCTTTTAATAACCAGAGACAAGGAGAGATTAACAAGCAGTGCCGCACAAAAGAAGATCAATACGTTTGGCAGGGAATTAGAAATCAGTGTCATATATCTACTTAATGTAGTCACTAGATCACTGAAAATGCACCAGAAAAGAGGTGTGAACGAACAAATCGTCACACTTCACTCCCTTCTTTGTGGCTTTCTCAATCGATAAACGATGCCATGAGTCAAATCAAACCTGAACGTAAAAAATGTCCTCAACATGTTAACTTAAAATAAAATTCAATTATCTGCAGCGACAAAAATGAGACCAGGAGGAAAAAGCTGCAAAAAATGCAGCACCAGAAGAGTGCATGCAGCAAAAACAGGTGGCACAAGCATGTCTTACTTTCCTTTGTTAAATAGTCACCAGAACAAAAATATGTTTATATATACACAAAATCACACAGTTAATGTATCAAAAAAATCTAAAATAAATATACTATAGGTCACTTTTTAACGTGCAGCAAAAACAACACGTTAAAAAGTGTTTTCCTCTCATGAACTCAGACATTATAACTAAAAATCTTGTTTTTATATAAAAATAAATGTTCCTTTTAAAAAGGCTTGGCACTCAACACCAAAATATTGCACTTTTCGCAATGCAAAAAGTAAAAGCTTGTGAACACTTCCTATTATCGGGAATTTTATGTGCCTGATCAATAAGGTATTAAATTGAATCTAAATTATCCAATTTGATATTTGGACAATTAAGATCTGAAACTTAATCGGTTTCAGATCTTCTGCTTCATGTCAAGCTGTGTCATTATGCTTTTCTCTGCCTCATGGGCTTCATGTCATCAGGTTGTCAAATAAACTCTTGAATGGTGGTTGAATCATTTTCTTGCGTACATGGATTTAGGTTTTTTTTAACCATAAATTTTTGATAGCTTTTACACCTGCATGAACCAAATCACACCTGAGTTTTAAGTCACCTATCTCTATGGTTCCCAAATCTCAATCTTTTAGAATGATTTCACACACAAAGGAACAATGTGAAAGTTCCTGTTAAACCCACGTTGTTCCTGAATCCCATGGTTGGAACATTTCCACTCACCATGTGTATAGGCATGCTGGTCAAGTCTCTCTCGGTGACCAGTCTGTCCTGATCTGTGACATACAGCCCCTTCTGGGCCAGGGCCTGAATGACGGCGTTGTGTCCCAGTAGAGGTTTGACGGCATCGCTGCGGAGGATCAGGCTTCCTGCGCGGCAGTACAGCTCCGCGGACTGAAGCAGGCAGGCGACGGGAGGCTTCAGGTGTTCCTGGTTGTACTGGTCCCTGTAGAAGGGCTCGGCCAGCTCCTCCGGAACGGCATCTAAAAGCAGAGAAGGAAAGGTCAAGGGAGAAACAGTCTGAAAAGCCAAACTGTGGTTGCCTTATTTTCTAACACACATTGGAAGACTGGTGCCGAAGTGAACTCCAGTATAAGATACTGTTGATGCTCCTGAACAGAACCGGTTCATAAAAAGGTTTGCTTGGCATCAGACGTCAACCAAACGCAACGGGTGTGAGGTGGGTTTGCAGAAAATGCTAGGGGCGTTTTTACTGATGCTGCTGACGTGCCCTACTCTTCAGAATGCCCCTTTTCTAGTTCATTTGAGGTGCATGACGCTCATCACTACTCTTATTTTGAACAGTAAATGTGTCTGCAGACAGAAATCTGTCTGTATTTAACAACTAGTAGGTGAAGAATCCAAAGGGAGAGCGCATCGCTAGAGAACAACCACACATAAAATATTTGCAAGTTGCTTCCTAGAGTTTCCTGAAGTGCAATAAATAATAAATATTTACCCTGTGTTTATATTCAACCCTCTATATGTGAAATACCTAAAGTCCACACATACTTGAGGCCTCCTATGAAAACAGCCTCTTAAGAGTTCAAACACCTTAAGAGGCCTATTAAGGTATTAATGCATAGCTTAATATGCATTAATACACACAGAGAAAACCATCTCAGCATTTATGCAGGAGCTAACATTGACAGTCTTTCTTATTTTTGGTCTTGGGGTTCAAGCCAATCAGCACCAAGAAATATAAATGTCCATCCTAGATACCTAGGTGCGATTCTAGCTTCTCAAGCTGTATTTTATTTTAAATATTTTAGATATGGTATACATGAAAATTGGCTAAGAGGCTAATTTTCCATGAGTAGTTTGAAGACTTGCTCAGCAGAAAAATCTTCAAATTTGTGAAGACTGAAGCACAAATAGGTACGGGTCACTTTTAGCACAAAACTCACAGCTAACAGCTCACTCTTTCTCAGTTATAGGGAAGCTCATGTCACCCCAAGAGTCGGTGGCGCCCTGGGTGATGAGCCACATCACACAACCATACTGCCACAATCTGCCCTATGTATATGAAATACTTGACACGGCCAACGCAGATTTGAAAACATGAACATGGATGAACATAAACTCACATTCAGTTGTGTCACCATGACTACTGAAGGCATTTCTTTAATTTAGATGTGTAATTTTAAAAGGCATTACGGTCAGTCACTTTTTTCAAAAATAGGAACTGAGTCTTGCACACACACAGAGAGACTCAGGACTCTGTCGCTCCTCTATAGCTTTTCATTTTCTTCATGACGTCGTGTTGTTTTTAACCACAAGTTGTGACTCAGAGCTCAACGATACTTCTCATAAATATCCTCCTGTTAGCGTTAATTTCTTTCCTACTGGTGCAGTGTTCAGACAACGCTCCTGTGCAGGAATGTTTCTGTGCGAGTGTGCTGTGACACACTCATGCGCCTGTATGAGTGTGTATCCCTGGTGTGTGGGGGTCATTTCCTCTCCGCCTGTCTCTGAAGCACACCGAGGAAAACAAAGAGCACTGAAGGAATCCTGCGTAAAGGAACATTGTTTCCCCTTCAAAGCAAGCTCAGAGCAGAGACATTAAGCTTGACCAAATGGCTTCAGAAAACCAATATGCAACACTCGCTTCAGAGACACAAATATAACATCCAGTCGGCTTGTGATCAGCTCTCTGCAGTTTTCCAGAAGCTGTGGTCACAGCGGCCTCCCCATGCAGCCACACTGGGCGATGAAAGGAGATATTTAGAGCAACACACAGATGTTAGACCTCTTTATAATGAGAGCTTCTGCATCATAACTCTTTAACTAGTCTGACCTGTAACCATGTCAACCGATTAAAGTTAATTAGCAAAGCTATACTCACACAAGCATGACGATTTGTGACTCTGGTGTAAGATGACTCTTTTTTTCGTAGAAATGTTCAGTTTCTGTACAAATCCACTTACAGAAAACAATCACAGCAGCTTTCTATTCACATAAAGACTGATTCTTAAAGAGTTAAAAATAAATTATTTGTAAAACCAGTAAACAGCAGCAAAAACAATTACACAACAAGCGCAACTTTTTTTTTTTTTTTAAAGTTCATGAAAAATCTGCCTTGTTAAGTGCTTTGTGTTGGCCATCAAAGAGGAAACAGACAGGAAGTAGCTGCCACGGGAAGTCCAGGCATGGAGAAGACCGCTCCTCTGGAGACCCTGGGGAACTGTGCTTATCTCCACTCGCTTACTGCAAGTTGTGTTTTTTTAAGATGCAAACAATCACATTAAAAAGTTAGTTTTAGCTTAACTGATCAAGATTACTTTGCGATAGATCCCATTCAGACTTGCAACTACAGAAAAGGTTGAGCAAAGGGAGAAAGTCAACTTAAACCTGTTACCTAATTAGCAAAGGTGTCTTTTAAAAACATCTAACATTTATTTGACTATGTTTACATGTATAACTAACATTGCTTAGTCAAGGTTTCCCCCGTAAAACGTGCTAAGCTCGGTGGTTGGGGGCGAGGGAAGTCATTCATCCAGCAGCCCATTGTGTTTTTGAGTTAAAATTTTTTTTAAAGTTGACAGGAAATTGGAAAATATCACTTGATAATTATGTGTTATTAAAAGGCTGGAAGATTAATACCTGAACACCAACTATAAAGTCTTAAAAATGCAAACATTTTAACAAGACTTAAAAAAAATAAGCAATGCTTAGCCTGGTGGGTGACAAAAGTAAAGCCTGGAGGCCCGCCAGGCTTATAAAACACTGAGGGGAAACTGCTTATAGCTTAAATCGCTGCACTCCTCCATCAGAAATATCAAAACTATTAAGAACATTTCAACGAGTTGACACAAGAGCCAAAAAAAAAAAGTTGCTTAAACACTGCATCAGTAGGTATGACTGGGATTTTTTTTCACTGCATAGTAACACAGGGATCCACACACGCCTGGTGCAAATCTAACAAGGCTTGTGACTGTTACTAAAAGACTGTGATCTCCAGGCCCTCCGGCAGAGCTGGACTGAAAACAAGAGTCTGTAGCAGAAATCAATGCATGAACTCAGGGATGCTTTTCTGAAACAACTGTCTACGACTGCAGTTTTCTGGCCATCACTGACACAACTTCAAGCTCAAACTCTACAACAAAGACAGATCAAATGTTAACAGCTACTCCAGGTGCAAGGTCATAAAAGAAAGACTGAAACTAAGTACAAAAACTTTGAAATAGTGAGCATAGTTACACACTTCTAACATCATCTTTAATGTACCAGCAGCGTTTTTCACTAAATGTACTTCACTGTGATTTTGTGCTGATAAACTAATAAAAATAAGTTTCCCGTATGGATTACAACACCATTGATTTCAAAGAAAAATGGGTGGACTATCTGTAGACAGCAGAAAGACCAATTAGTAGCTCAAACAACCAACTTATGTATAAAACCATATCAGAATACGCAACACGTCAAACCTTTCAGCAGATACGTTACAGAAGTCCACACTGAGTGTCAGCAAACGATAAGAACCTGAGGCAACAATTCAGACAGTTTCATCAAAATTAGACATGAACAGATTTTTTCTGGTTTCATTTTAGCTGTGACATTTGGATTATACATCCTGGTACTCGTGGGATGTAAGTAATAAAGTGGACAGTAGAAGAACATAAGTTACAAGACCTCTTTGTTTCAAATCACAATCTTATGGAAACTATATGATCTGATGTTGAACTTGTACAAGATAATAAAATCTTTATCGAGCTGTAGCTCATCTCTGCCATCTCCTAAATTGTCAATATTGTTTCTGCACTGTTTGAGGTGCTGTACATGATAAGTCAGAGTACTGGGTGTCGAGCCAGCGATAAGACTGTCATTTAAATGAGTTTCTGCTCAGAGCTCCCAACACCAGCTCAATAAAATCTTGACCTGTCCAGTTAAATTGAAACAGACTCTCCTGGAGTGTGTCAAATGTAATTTTTCAGCAGCAGATTTAATTTACAGGCAGCAGATTTGATGCCCACTGGCAGCTGAGAAAGAGGATTGGTTAAAAAAAAAAAAAAAAAAAAAAAACATTTATGTTACTTTTAAATGGTTACTGTAGTAACTGGCAAAAGTTAAACTAAGAAAATATGTTGGATTTACATTCTACCAGTGGTGAAATTCATCAAATGTTCATTTTGAAACCAATTCTTCTTCTTCAGTTTAAGTCATCTGTTTTACAACCCTTCTCCTTACTATAAATAAAAGTTTACTCCTAACCTCAAATGGTCCTGTAGCGCCAATGTGTGCTTGTTAAAGCCCAAGTCAACCAGGTCCCTGTGAAAATCCGCTTCTGATAAGTTTCTGAGCCAGTGGGAAAACTGTTGCATCCGACCACTGGCAGCTTCTCCCTGCAGTTCGCCGGGTCTATCTAGGCCAAACGAGGCTCTGAGGACCGCTCATGAATTGGGCCACAGTTCTCCTCAGTGGTAGGAGCTGAAACTGTGTCACTGGAAGGCCGAGACAAAAAAAAAAAAAAAAAAAGCAGGACAGCAGCAGTGTGTCCGCAGTCAGCACACGCTTGCTACTGTTGCACTTGCAAATATATCAAAATCCAAGAGGTTGTAATATAGAGGAGCCCTAATTGGCATTCAAGGTCTGATCGATGGGTTTGTTTAAGCATTTCGCCTCGTTCTCTTTAAGGCTCTGTCTGAGTGGAGGTTAGTAGAAGTACGATGCCAAAGAAAAGACTTCACTTTGGCATGGAGACAAACTGTCTACACTGTAGGATAGACATGTGTCATTAAAACAAATACTCAAAACCTACTAGATTTTTGAGCAGCTGCACCAGAGATTATTATCTGACATAAAGAAAGTTCTCAGACAACATCTTTGTGTCTCTGGGTTCCAGGGCTTTAGATTTTGTTTGCTTCATTTTAATTTAGTTCACTCTTTTGCACCAAGTCTCCTCTGACATGCGTCAAAAGTGTTTGGATGATTTTTTTTTTAAATCCTGAAACAGGTGGCATGCATTTCTATTTAGCCCCTTTTCCTCTGACACCCAGAAATCCGACTGCTTTCTGAGACGCACTTTATTAATAAGAGTCCCAGCTGTCAGTAATTTATTTCTTTATAAACCCAGCTGTTCTGTAAAGGCCTCTGAGGTTTCTTGGAGATCATTAGTGAACAAACAGTAACATGAAGACCAAAGAGCACAGCAGACATGTTAGGGATAAAGTTGTGTGGATGTTAAAGTAGGATTAAGACACAAAAAAAGATTTGGACATCAGACTGAGCACAGTTCCAAGTAAGGAAAGAGTATGGCACAACTGCCACTGGATTAGTGTTGAACTCAAGACATCTGGCCTTGGTGGAAGCAGTTCTCAGTGAAAGTCAGATCGCTTCAGGCCATGTCCGGGACATCATCACCATGTGGAAGGGGCAGGTTTGTTCAGATCAAACTGTAATTTTGGTCAATACTTAAACTATTTTGTGGCAAAAAAGCGAACACTGCACATCATCATCCCTATGGTGAAACAAGGTGGCAGCGACATGCTGGGATGCCTGATGCAGGACCATACTGTAAGACAACCTGTTAGAGGGCTGGAGACCATGGCAGGTCAACAAACCTAAAAATGCGACAGGCATTGAAGTGTCCCAGTCCAAGTCCAGAACTAAATCAAATAAACAATTGATTTAGTCCATTCTAACTGTGCTTGAGCTGTTGTGCATGTCCATAAACACCCCAGTTTCTCCCGCTATGCCAATCTGTCACACAATGACGCATGAATACCAACCTGTACAGGTTAAAACAGCCTCAACTGAACTCAAGAGACTTACATAATATTTGACCTGACATGGGGTAATTAGCAGCAAAGGTTAAACCAATACCGCTGACAGGATAAAAAGCTAACTAATAGGAAAAACCCGGAATATGTTTTGCCCAAATGTTGTCGGGCAGAAAGTCTGTTTTCGTCGTTTGTCTGTCACAGTGAGATCCTGATTGCACGACGCTGTTGACAAAACAGTCGCACCAGCACGCCACATTATCACACCCCTCGTTGATTATCTGAAGCGGCGTTTCCCAGCTCCTCTCCTCCGAATCAGGAGCGCCAGGGAGGCGCCACCTACCCGAGCCGAAAGCCTTGGCCACCAGCCACGTCAGGCTGCAGGAGACCTTGGCCCTGGTGAAGTCGTAGTGGTCGAAGCTCTTGATGGCAGGGACGATGAACGTGCGTCTCATCCCTCGGTCCTCTGCCGCATCTCCCATCGTCCGTCTGTGCGTCGGCGTCCCTCTGCTGCTGGGGAGCTCAGTCAGCCGGAGGAGCTCCTCCTGAATGCGGATGACATCTCGTCCAGAGGAATTCAATGCAGTAGAAAGAAGAAGAAGAAGAAGAAATCCCTTTCTGCTAATTAAAGAATAATAATAAAAAAAGAAATCGTGGGACTTTGAGTTTGGCTGGTATGAGCTTGATGAGGGGCCCCCACCTCCTCCTCGGTTAAATGAGACTCATATTCAATTTTACCTCCTTAAATCGTGACAGCGCGGCGCGGTTTAGTGGCAGGATTCCTGAAGAAGATCCCCGGACATTTTCATCCTGGGCTTTCACGACATGACGGATAATCTGAGTGGTTCAGGAGCAAAGCGTCAGGATCCTTTTGGTTATGTCTCAAAAAAACAAACAAAACAAAAAAAACAAAACAAAAACAACGATCCGTTTATAGTTCGTGCTCTTCTTTCCCCCCTTCCTAACTGTTTTCATCTCCTCCTTCCCCCCACCCCCTCTCTCTGCGCTTTTCCTGCCGCACTCAGCGGACGAGGCGCACTGCGCAGGCGCGATCCACCCACCCAGTCTTTACAATCCTGTCAGGAGTCATCACAATGTAATACAAACTAGCGGCAGGATGGCTGCTGACTCAAACCCAGATGTTTCCATAGTGAGATGCATGACAAAATAGCAGAGAATGAGCTCTAATGCGCAGCGATCGGACAGATTTAAAGGAACATTACATTACTCAACCGGTTTTTATGCTCCTTTAATTTCTTAATTAAGCCTGATATGATTGGTTTACATTTTTAAACAGTTTGAGTATGAATTGGGGAAAGTTGAAAAGCTTCTTAAAGCTGCAGTAACTTTTTTATTTATTTTATTTTTACAAATATATTTAAACTGTGTGTAGTCTGACAGTATACCGTGTTGTGGTAAACCTATTTCCATTTACAGAAACAACCAGTCAGAACCAAAAGGAGGGTCTTAGCAGTATAAATCATCCTTGTGTAGGTGCTGTTCACCCCTCCCTTTTCACTTTGCCATACTACAGACAGTTTACCACAACAGAGGCGGACATGAATGCTAAGGCTTGTCATCATGTATCTCTGCCATTAGCACACTGAGCAGCATGTAGAGAAGGGTGATTGACAGCGCTAAGCAGTTTATAGCACATTATAGTCCTACTGGGGAAATATTCAAAAACACATTTCAGGAATCTTTCAGTCGATATTTTCCACCATTTTCTCATTGTTGTTCTCAATGACCTGGTTTTTAAAAACTTAATCCCAAAGAGAACAAAGATAAAGATATTTATTTATCTTTGTCACTAACATTTTTACACCAAAAACATTGCTTGTAAGAAGTAAACTTAAATTACACGAAAACTCTTTGCTCTGTATTTAACTGTTATCATCTTCCACTCATCATAATAATTACTACAGAAATGGTTCCTCTTTTGGGCTGGGCAGTCGTAGCACCACTGCTTTGTACCAAGGCGGTTCTGGGTTTGAAGCCAGGCCTGTGGTCTTTTGAGCAGACAGTTTTCATGCTCTCCCAGTGCTGACCACATCAGCCAGATCATATGGATTTTTGGATCTCACTTCACTGTTATTCAGCTCTCAAACCATAGAACATTCCTGGTTCCTGAGATGAATGGCCACATCCAGATGGGTGATGGTATCAGTCTTCCTCCATTTCAGAATAATTAGGAGTCTCAGAGGGGAATTTAAAACTGCTGAAATGGAGGTATGAGCTTAGCTTCACCACAGGCCTATAAGGGAGTTTTGCTATTCAGGTGTGCTTATCTTATGTGGTTTTTCCCTCAATAACATGAAGCAGTTTTACTCATGTCCCATTTTAAACATTTGTTGAATCCTTTTGTCTTTGTCAAAAGAAGCCTATATATAGAGTAAGACTTAGTACGTTAATAGATTTATGCAGTACATCAATATTAAAGTTATACTTTTTACTTATTCTGCCACAAAGTATATCTTGATCAAAGTTTGGTTTCATTTAATATGGTAGAATAAACTATTTGTCACTACACACATATACCGTATTTTTAGGTTTTACACTCACTATAAATTTACATTTTCAGAATCACATAGTACATAGAAGTCAGAAAAGTTGCTTTTCTTTTTTTTCCTTTTGAGATATTTATTTTTGTTTCCAAACATACAAGGAAGGACTTCAGTTTTCAATTAGAAACAGTATTTTATTTCCAGTGTTATAAGCAAATGCATACTTTTTTCTCTACCTTTCATTGACAAAGAAGAATTTTATCCTGGAGAGACTATTGTTTACTTTTTTACAGTTATGAAAGACTTAATTGCATATGTTTTTTTTGTTGCTTTTGACATGTGTATTTAAAATATTTAAATAGGCATTTATATAAATACATTGTATAGTATATTTTAAAGTTTTACATGAACACATCAAAGTTGTTCTCAATATTCTGTGTTGTGATTTTGCAAATACATTTCAGTGTCATGCACATATATTGTTAGTTAATTCTGAGAATATTTAAACATGTAAACACAATGCTACTACATATTAGTTAATAAGCTAAGCAAATTTCCAAGTAAATTTGTAGTATTAATTAAACTATAAACTGTAATATATTATATCTCAGTTTTGGTCATTCATTAGCTATTCTTAAAATAAATTGTGGAGTAAGTATATAGTGCAATAATAGTACTTGTGGAATGACCTAAATATACTTCAACAAACAAAATCGTATACCTAGTACACTATTAACATATAGATGAGTGTACTTGTTGCATACTTAATGTATACTTTGGTAAATCTAAAATAATTTCACATAAATTGCGCATAAAGTATATTTTTATAAACTTAAAAATTATTCAGTGTTGTATATAGAAGCATACTTTCTAGTACAGTCTGTAGTTTACTTGCTATACTGATAGTAAAGGTCAAGTGTGCATAATAATACGAACTTAAAGTATAATAAGAAAACCTTTAAAAGATGACTGAACCACAGATAGCATGTATTTTTTAATTACAGGTGTGTCAAACCTCTTCCCACATAACAAATGAAACTTATTTTGCAAACATTTATTTTTGCAACTTTTTATGTAAAGTCAAAGGACGTTACCAGAGTACTTCAGCCTGCGAATGGCAATGACAAAAGTGGGCCGACAGAGCCCCCTAGTGTCCAAACAGCGTCCCTACAGCTGAGTGGACATGAGACTGTACACTCAGTTTCAGTCAGTAGGTGGCAGTCTTGAGCCATTCTTAAAGATTGGTCTCTCCTTTGAATCCTCCTCCTTTGTAGTAAGTAGAACTGCTGATTTGTCCCTTTTACCGACCGTGTTGAGAACAATAAAACAACTTGCAATAAAAACCACGCAGCTGCTCCAACTTTAACACTTTTAGTGTTCAGAATATTTCCTCTCTACCTTCTTATCCTTCCATCTTTCTCTTTCTTTCTTCAACTTAGGCCACCTTTGTCTGCACTTCCCTCTCCACCCACAGTCATTGTCGAGTCATTCCCAATCATAATATAGTTTGCATTTTCGATGTGAATGTTGGCCGCCAGCCGCTGAGGCCTTGCATCCCCAATGTCCTGCTCTCGTTGTACGGCGGCTCCAAGAACAAGCTGTTGTTCCATGTAAAGCCTCAGCCTCTCTTTTTCTCTCAAACTCTTCATTCTCTGTTCCTGAACCCAGATCTTTCTCTGTTTTTCAATAATTGCCTTATTAAAAGCCTTTTTCAGTTTTCTCTCAAAGTTCCTCCTCTCGTCCAGTGGCACCAAAGTCTTCAAGGTGATGGGGATCTGGTTTTCTGGCATGCAGTTCTCCCGAGGCAGCAGGGGGATAACCGTGTTATATTTGTGTGCGTTGTTTATAGAGTTGACGAGGGCAATGTTGGTTTTCATTTCCACCATTTGTGAGTTGAAGTTGCGCGTGAGCAGCAGGAAGGTGAAGGCAGAGTTGTTGACGGCGTCCTCCACGCACCTCAGAGTGCTTTTTCCTGGAATGGCAAACTCCTCTGAGAAAGTTGCTCCACTAGTACCGATGACTGCCTCAAATTTTTGCTTCATGCTCTCTGCCACATCTGAATCTTCTGGAGCATGCAAAATAACAAATGCATAAAATGTGTCCTCTTCCTCGTCCTCCTCTTCATCTACTTTGTTTATGTGTGTGCATTTTAGACCAGGACTGCTTGGAAGAATAATGTGTGTAGCAGTCGGTAGACTTGATTTAGTCTGAGCGTAGGGTTTTAGTGATTGGGTTGCACTCTCGTTACTCCTCATTGACGCTTCTTCTATCTTAATGCCTTTCTCTGATCCAAACTGAGATATTTCAGTCGACGTGTGCTGAGGAGATGTACAGTGAATTTGTTCTGGGATAGTTTCTGTTTTATTTTTATGGATGGAAGGGTTTAGTATTGGGTTTCCTGAAGATTCAGCTTTGTCCCCTTGAAAAGGAATTGTTGGTGGAAGACTTATCTCGAGATGAGAAGGGTATGAAGACGCAGACGGACAGTCTTGCAGGGGGCTGGGAAGGCAGTGAACATTTGCAGGCTCATCCAGAGACGCAGCAATATTTAACGTTGCCTTTCCTTCACTGATGGTCCTGCATGGATCGATGGAAGACTCCGATTTCAGATCGGAGGGGAAGCACATGGGCTCTGCAAACTGAGGCCCACATACAGCTCTGGCTTCCTCTCTAAAATGATCATATTCCAGAGAGCTTGTGTTTTGGCATCCACAGAAAATGGCTCTCTTGTAAGCCAGATTCCTTAGACGTGGATTGCACAACCTTTGCTCAGACAAAATTTTAAAAACCCGAGCCAGCGATGTCAAAGACTCTCCCGTCTTGGCCTCAAACAGGCTACAGTGAGCTCCGAAGTCGTCTAATTTACCTCCGCCTGAGTGCCACTTTTCAGCCAGATGGTTGGCGAGGGGGTTGTCCTCTAGCATCTGGAGCTTCCCCAGGGCCTGGGCTTCTCTCTGGAGGATGATCAGACACAAAGCGTGTATGATCGTGTCTTCAGGAGACTCTCCCAACTGGATTGTGAGGCTGAATAATCGCTCTGAAGGTGCCTTTTCTAAAATGTCAAAGACAGCCCTCAGTCCTGTCCCTTGATTTTCCAGTTCTGTATGACTCATTATACAGATTAGGTGCCAACTGGTTTGGGGAAGAGAAAAGAAGTCAACAAGATCACACTTGATTTCCCAGTTGCATTTTCTTCAGATTATCAGCATGTCGCCCATCTGAGGAGAGTCTTGCAGTTTTCCTTTCTATAAAGAGACATGAAAACAAATGAAACATGAAAACAAATGAGATCAAATGTAGATAAAATATTACTCAAAAATATTTTGAGTAATGAAAAGTTTTTAAAAAAGTGTCGAATTAATAGAAATAAATAAACTTCTTGTGTAACTTCCTTGACCTCAATATGATCATAAATCAGTAATTACTTACCGGAAAGATTTCACTGGAGCAGTGATGACAGATCTGCTTTTAGTTCAAACGAGGAAGTCTGTCAGAA